TAGCTAGCTCCTATAATTCGTTATATCTCTCTAATCTAATCTCAGCTCTTTTCGCGCGTTATAGAAAAAAAAAGGATTGATTAATACGAGCAGATATAAAACAGCAGGAGGCGCAGGAGCTGACGATACTGCAGATGTCCCCCGAATCATATTAACGCTCGGGCTTTCATCGAAGTCGACATAAGTAATTCCGCGTTTATTTTCCGGCTTTCGCGGAACATTTCATGTTTCGACAGGATATATCGCTCATAATTTTTCGTCGCCACGAATGAACGTGGGAGCTACACCCTATACCCCTTCCGCGTCCATCGATTGAGATTCGAATCGATAAATTGAGACGCTGATGCATCGATCGGAAAATAGGAAGCCGCGTGAAAATCTTCTAGCAATTTTTTATTTGAGCGAGCTATTTCGAAACTATGACGCGGTCACCACCAGCTCGTTTCGTCGAGCGTAAGATCGCGCGATTATTGATCGCGACGTAAAAGTGAGAGCGCGCCCACGTCAATTAATTAACGTCGGAGACGAGAGCGAGCGATATATTAACGTGATCGACGAATCGAGGATGGAACGTGCCGTCACGGCGGCGCGACGGCTTCTGTAAAGTCCTGTAACTGTTGGTGGTGCGTACACGCGTGACACGCGTCGGCGGCGACGACGTCCTCGGAGTCCGGGTCGGGCATGAGATTCAATGACAGGGAGCTCGCGGAGGCGAGCTTTGGACCCGCGGACCTGGAGGGACGTCTAAATCACAAGCGGGCTCATAAGTCAGGTTAGTTTAGTCGTTTTTACATAACGCGACGGGCCTAACCTGTCACCTGTCACTTGACGAACTTCTATGGAGAGAGAGATACGATTATACATATATTATAAATAATTGTTCTGTTAGAATTAGATCGCGGATTTTATCGTTATAGATTGTCGTATGCTGCTACTGCGCGATTACCTTCCTTCGGTTTAGACTTGAGGGGGAGTTTTTTTTTAAATCGCTATCGCCTCTCGAGACTGTAAATAGAGCTGCTTATAAAAAATTGTAAATAAAGCTGCTGCTTAAGAGAGTTTTGTTTATGGAGAATAATTGTACCGCTTTCTGGATCAAAACAAAGAAAGAATGTGTAGTCTGTTATAATATCTGTGGCTTAATGTCAATTGAAGGAAGGAATCAAAGGCGTATTCTAATTGTTGATAATTAAATTAACATCTATCTAATATATTTTTACTTTTATATTTGCTTCCAGTGTTTAAAGAGAAGTGGTTCAAGCTGCGATACAATCTACTGTTTTACTTCAACATCAATGACTTGGGGCACATTGATAGGAGGCAACCCGCCGGGGTCATCGTTCTAGAGAATTACAGCATCAATATAGATAATTCGTCCGAGGGGGCGTTTGCGTTCAGTATCTCGTTCCGCGACGAGCTGGAGAAGCGACATGTGCTGAGCGGTCGATCGGAGTCCCAAGTGGAGCAGTGGGTCAACGCGCTCAAGCAAGCGAGCTACGAATATTGGCGATCACGCCTGATCATGCTTCAGGAAAGATTGTGCAAGAAAACGGGAAAGGACCCGTTGCTCATGTATCCCAGAAATCAGGGTGTGGTGCGAGACGAAGCTTGGGAACCTGCCACCAGCTTCAGATCTCATGTACGTTCCTTTACGACGTCAGTCGCGCCTACATTGAATACAATAACGAGGGACGTTAATCTCATAGATCTTTAATACAGGACAATAATTTTAGACACTACCTGAATTAAAATTGTTAATTTTTAAAATTTAATATCTACAAATGCCGGCCTCGCGAAATTTATATTTTGAAGGAACAATATGTACATAATCGATGTAAGAAAGTTTTGTGGAAAACTGCCACGAGCGAGCAAGTTTTAGGATGCAGGTTCACAATAAGTATGTACGAGCTTTAATAATTTATATATTATAATAATAAGATAGTATACTATATAGAATTTATATTCTATGAGACAAAATGTAAAGGAAAATAGAAATATTATAGTCAGACGAAGTAATTTACTTCAAATAATAATGATTTTGTTTATTATAATATTAGAATGCGTTTCAAATCCAAAAGAGATTAAAAACAGTTATTAAAAAGTTAAATGTAAAAAGAAAACAGTCTTGTGAAAAAGTTATTATTTTCCTAATGCGACAACGAATATAGGTATACAAGAACAGAAAAAATTCGAATGATATAAAGTAATAATACTGACAAGGTAGTACGGATATAAAATATATGCAAGTAACATACAATGATATGAATTTAAAACTTGGTTTAATTTATAATAATATTGTAAAACAAGTTATATGAGTGTACTGATGCATATTTAGTAATTTTCGACAACTAAATATTAATATTGAATACTTAACCCTTAACGTGTACACGTGGGTCTACGGCGTCCGAGCTGAAAGTGATATCTGCTCGTAACTGTAAAACTTGCAAGCCTGTTAGAAGATATTAAATAAACGATGTTCATCAAAATGACTATGCAGTCGTCAACTACAATGTAGACAGATGTTTCATGAATTTTTTTTAGATTTCTTAAAATACTTTAAGGTAGGAAAAAATAGCGTTGAACGTGACAGACCCCCGTATACACTTTAAGGGATAATAATAAATTATGTACAATTCATATTGTAACACAAAACAAATTTTGTTATTTTTTGTGTAATCGCTACTTCTTCTACCTCTGTATAAATTTAATGAAATATTCATTTATCAAATACTCAATCTGTGTCTAACAAAATTCTGTAATAGTAACATTGTAAAGTTTATAATGAAAAAAATAAAGGTATTTTTATAATTTTTGCACTTTTCTTAATTTTATTATCAAAAACTGTATTAAATACTTTCTATACATAATATACTACATTTATATATGTATAATCTTCGATATCTTAATATAAGCATAAGAAAATGCTCCCCGCTTTAAAATAGCATATATCTATTTGTAGCGCGAACGCGCAGAATGATGTTTTATCGACAGTGTCGGAAAATGGACGTTGCTACGTAGTACCAATTTTTAAAATGGATGTACTGACGGTCCTACACGAAAAAGGCCGGGATAAGTCTTTCTATAGTTTATTTGTTTATTTATTTATTACATACTGTACACTGTACTCCGACAAGCAAGACAGCAAGTGAAGCAAGATGTATCTTCTGTTATAATTTTGATAACTGAGAAATTAATTCGTATAATAATAATAGAGAAAAAGGTATTTAAAATAATAGAGAAAAGATATTTAACACATTAAAAGAATTTATCACAGAACTTCATTATATGTAAGCTGTCTTAAGAAGAAGAGAAGAAAAATGAATATTGAATACAAATTCGAGAAAGAAATCGACTGCAAGCAAGGGGCCGTCAGATCTGTACGATTCAGTGGTAAGGAGACTCGTTTACTTTTAATACACTATTATTTTATCAGACATGTATATGAAAGCTGATGGTTTTGCGTTTCAGTGGACGGTTCGTATTGCGTAACGTGCGGGTCAGATAGGAAGCTAAAATTATGGAATCCGTACAAGTCTGTTACGTTAAAGACATACGGCGGACACGGTGACGAGGTTATGGATGCCTCCGCGTCCTGCGACAGCAGCCAGATAGTATCTTGCGGATTAGACAAATCTGTAATCGTCTGGGACGTGGCAACAGGCACGCCTGTGCGTCGTTTCCGAGGACACGCAGGACCCGTCACGACAGTCAGGTAAGTGTGTTGTTTGCAATTGCGAAGTTAACGAGTATCAAGATTATTACTATATTTTAGTTTAATAATCTAGTCCAGTGAGGATCGTTGCGAACAAATTTATTAAGACTTGTAAGTGCAAAGATGAAAAAGTGCTCTCTGTCTGACGACGCTAATTAAATTCTGTCTTAAATAAAGATGATTAAGTTCAATGAATCTAAAACTCGAATGTCAAATATAATGATTTTTATGTTACGACGTTTGAACACGCAATATATTTCTGAAACGTAAGTTCTTTCAGCTAAGCTCAATGTTTCCTATTGCAATCACAGATTTAACGAAGAATCGTCAATGATTGTTTCTGGATCGCGTGACAACAGTGTCATGTGTTGGGACGGACGTTCCAAGGCGCAAGAAGCGGTACAATCTTTGAACGACGCCAAGGATTCCATTTCGAGCGTGAGGGTTTCGGACCACGAGATCTTGTCCGGTTCTTTCGACGGCAAAGCACGCACGTATGATATACGAGTAGGTGAACTTTGCGAAGATTATATGGGAGGTAAGAAATAACGAATCAATGTAACGGATTACCGACTTCGCGTTGATTAGAAAGTAATACAGTATTATACAACACGATGCAAACTTTTCAGATGCGATCACATGCGCCAGTTTCACCAGAGACGGACAGTGTCTGGTCGTCAGTTGCGCGGACGACGTGATCAGATTGATCGACAAGGACTCGGGAGAGCTACTCGGCGAGTTCGCCGGACACACTGGGAAGGATCTGTGCCTGGAATCGATCGTGGACTGTCAAGACACGAGAATTCTTTCCGGCTCGGCCGACGGAAACTTGTGGATTTGGGATCTAGTGTCTCAGAAAGTGGTCGCGAAGCTCTCGGGTTCTAAGCCAACCAAGCACCCTACTGTATCTATAAGCGTTCATCCGCAGAAGAACTGCTTTTTGGCGTCTAACGGATCTAATGTATTGATGTGGAGCACGCAGACTCACACAGATAACGAGTAATAGCGAAGTTTGTTCCATTATTACCCCTTTGTGTACAGAGTAAGTCCGAAGTCTGTGATTTCCAAATAATTTTAGTTCCAACAATTTCTACAAGATTTTTTACAAACTAAATATTTATTATATGGTATATTAATGTATATATTAATAATAATAATAATATAGCTATTTTTTAAAGTCGAACTATTTAATAATTAATGGTTGCTTGTCTACTTGACAATTTTGGTAAAAAAAAAACTGTAAAAGTTTATTGTCTAGCAAACATTGCGTCATTTCGATGAGTTAAGAAATTATGTACTTTTAAACACAAACAGCTTGTATTATTCTGCGATCTTTCTTACAGTATCTAATCATATTTCTCAAGCAAGCATATATTTTCAGACTACTAAATATTAGTATTCGTGTGAGACAAACAACTAGGAATGACAAATTTCATCCATCGACATAAAGAGACAAACAAGGCAAAAAAAAAACAAAAGAATTCCATTTAAGAGTGATGCCTCGATTCGCACACAGGTGCGGGGTGCGTGCGCGTGCCGCGTCGGCGACGCGCGCGAGCGCAGAAATTTCACATCGTCATTTCTTCATCGTTCGCGGAAGGAGCGAGTAATAAGGAGGTGGTGCGTGGCCTTTCCGGGTTAAGCCGGGGCCACGTATCGTACGATTCGCACGCGTGACGAGGTGACGCGCGTGAAACGCTACTTTCGAGCGCCCGGCGCGGCGTTTCAACGCCGGTGCGCGTTTAGCGCAATGGGGCTGGCGGGGGGAGGGGGCGAGAGGGGGCAAGCGGAACGGCGAGCGCGCACAATGGAACGAGAGGAGCGAAACTGCGCGCGCAGGTGGCGCGATGTCGGTGCGTCAGAGCTACTGGTCGGCCGGCGTAGTCTCGCCCGGGAGAGCGCGCGAAGGAAAGAGAGAGAGAGAAAGGGAGACGGAGTGCGACGTTACTCGCACTGGGCGATCGAGCGTGGCACCAGAGAAGCGACAGAGAGCGAGAGAAACCGGCTGAATCGCAGTGGCGGATTATAGGACACGGAATTTGAACTAATTTCGAGACTTCCCGTCGCTGGTAAACATTTTTAATTAAGAAAGTGTCAAAGAGAGAGAGAGAGAAAGAGAGTATGAATGAATGAGAGAGTGAGAGGGAAAGAGAAAGAGTTTATCGAGTATATTATTCGCGGTTTAACTGGAAGTAATGATCATGAAGTTTATAATATATAAACGCGGAATTATAAAACGCATTTTTAAAAGTTTCCTGAAACATTGGAGTCTCCAGGCGCGAAATGACCTCGATGATTTCCTCGTTCGAATTGTCGGAGTAACGAAAATCGGGGAAGCCTTTGCGAAGCGGATATGGGACTACGATAATGATCGTCTTAATGGTCTCCTCTAATGGTTTGTTGTGATAACGGTCTGACGCTCATTCGCGTGTAAATGAAACTCGACTCTTTCTCGCGTAGCGCTCCGGAATCTAATTCGCTCCGAATTCGCCGACGATTTAAATCCCCCCTCCGCCCTGACTGAATCATTGTTTGCGACCGGGAACTTTTGCAGGATGCGACGAGAGGATCGAGCGCCTCCGCGTTGGAGATCCGCCCCGAGCCCCGAGCCGCCCGAAAATCGGAGGGCGCTGACGGCCTCGGCGCGGTAATCCGCCACTGGTCGGGATCGACGCAGCGGGCAGCAGCGGGTAGCAGCAGCGGGCGAGGAAAGGCGAGGGAGAAGGACGGATATACCTCGCGGGACGCGCACGGAGGTGGTCGCACACGGGGCGGGCCGGTCGGTCTCACCACTTCGCGGAGTGTATTTTTTTTCTTGCGCCGCGCGTAATCGCGAGGAGGAGAGCGACTGACAGGCAGAGAAGGACGGGCGACGAGGCGGCGAAGGTTGCGACTGACGAGAAAGACGGAGTGAGAGAGAGGGAGCGAGAGAGCAGGACAGCGAGATCGTCCGATTGACGGGCTCGACGGATACCGATGCCGGTGGCTGTTGGACCGCGTGGTCTCGCGAGGATGCTCCGTCAGTGATCGCCACTCCGTCCGACAGCGGTGTACATTGTTGTTGTTATTGTCGTTGATCGATATTCTCGCGAGAAGAAGAGAAGGCGCCAAAGAGAGAGAGAGAGAGATAGAGATAGAGAGAAGAAACCCGGCGAGGGGGCGAGCGAGCGAGGGAGAGGCAGGGAGAAGAAACTGTCGCGGCAGGAAGCACCGCGAGAGGTTGGCAACGGTGGTGGTGTGCCCGCTCTGCCGCTGGGGTGGTGGTGGAGGTGGTGGTGGTGGTGGTTCGCCGTGACACAGTGGTGGAACGGAGGCACGAAGGACACGACCGTGAGAGAAGAAAAGAGGGTTGTTATGGGGCGAGAATCCCGTGGCGTGTTGCTGCTCGTCGCGCTGGCCGTGCTGGCAGCCGCGGACGCCTTCTCGACCGACAGTAAGTCCGCATTTTTTTCAGTCACAGTTACGGCGGAGAAACATTTTCGCTCTGGAGCGACAGCGAGCGAAAGGGGCCAGAGGCGCGAGGGGGTGATGGGGAGAGATCGGAGCGGAGGAGGCGGCGAGGGGAAGAGAGCTGGTCCTGAAGAGCCTGGCCCGTATACACCCAGCTGCGTCGCGGTCCTCGGAACAAAACTCGCGATTCGACTCGCGTTCATCTACGAAAGCCTTCTACGACGGTATCGCGACGTATCGACGAATTTTTCAGTTATGACTTCGTTCGCCTTTGCTGCGCTCTGTCCTCCCCCTCCTCCCGCTCCCTCCCACCGAGAGGCGCGTCAATGAGGGGCTCGCGGATTTTAACGTTCGCTCTCTTTTTTTTCTCTTCTGAGGGTGGGTTATTTGTCCACGCGTTATTTGATCAGCGCTGGATATCGGGAGGAGACAATCGATTTATTTACGACCGTAGTCTCGCGTACGTGCTATTATTGACTGTCAACGTCATCGCTACCGTCGTCCGATGTTAATGTGAGACGCGCGTCAGAGATTAATGGCATTGTGACATCGCGTATTATTTCGTAAGAGAAGAGGACAAGATCCTGCGAAGCCTCTGAAACAAAAAAAAAAACATGCCGGCGAGGAGATTCCATGGCGGCCGTTTCTCTCTCACCCCGAGTCTAGCTCCGAAAATTTCCACTCTCGTCGAGAACGCGCCGCAGAGATCGGATACTCTCGTCGTGTATTGAAAACCGAATTTTGAAAATCACATTATTACATCAAATTTGTATCGCGAAAATTAATAATGTTATAGTATCACGTTGAACTCGCGTCCCTGCGATTAATAACGTTAATCTAAATTAGGTTTAGGGTTTAGAGCATTTCCGAGGTGACTCGTGCGTCGCGCATTCGTGCGAGCGAAGCGCGTCGAGATCTTCACGTGTTCCCGTTCCGTTCGCGTCCCGATCGTTCGCAGCATCTCTCCGGACCGCGGGGACGAGCCCCCCGAAAAAGCGCCGCGGCCCGAGACGTTCGATTCAGCTGACGCGAAGTTGCACATTATTATGTAAGACCGATAGACACGACGTCGTCGGCGTCGTCGTCCCGTTTTGTCAACGGTCGCGCACACTCGCTCTTTTCCATTGAGCTATTGTGTACGTTTCTGTTTTTCGCCGAGACGAGATATGTATACATACATACATAGTAGGATGTTAACATGATTGACAGAAAACGGAGTAAAATGATAAGTCATTCAACGCCGCTTTGTTTTGATTTCCGCAATATTTGCAAGGCACGTGATATTCAAAATAAATAATATTTAGTCAACAAGCGCGTTATAGTTCCTGTTTCTTGCACGCGACATGTATGTACATATAAGTGAAAAATCGTCTCGTTACATTTTTAGTTTGATATGTAAAGGATTCCCGATTTTCTGACTTAATTCCGTCATCTGTCCGCAGATTTTTTGAAATTTTTTTCCGACATAATACAGAATTGGAGTTTTACTCGAGTATTTATATTTGCGCTTGTTAAGTATACACATATGTCATACCTCATACCTGATCACATAAATGCAGGTTAAATCAAGATTAGAGCATCCACGATACATCTGAATCTTTTTTCTTTTTACAAAGAGCAAAAGGAAAGGGAGAAAAGAAACTTTTCCCTGCACACATGCTTTTTTTATCTCGTACAGTTGTGAATACTCTGACATTTAAAAAATTAAGACCTGATTAATTCACCCCCTCTTTGAAGTTTAAAATTGTCTGATTGAATGTTTGATTTGAGTAATATTCTTAGGCATTGAAACGAGAGCACGAGCTAATTTTTTGTTCATCATATCGCATACAATATTAAATTCGACTTGATTTGAGTCATTTTTAATTATTCTTATAGATCGCCCCACTGCTCCTACTCAATGTGTCGGTAATTTAACTAAACCAACGGAGTTAAAATAATACTGTTTTGTGTTAATATAATAAATTTCGACACACATAGCAGTTAAAAATAACAAAATGTTATTTAACTCGAGATATTGGTTTAGATTTCATCCTTTGATGTTTAACATGTATATGGAGGGAAATAAAAACGTTAAAATTGTATTGCGAAAAATGAAAATCGAATCTGATAAAGCAAATTTGTTTCTCGATTTCTTTTGATCAAGGCTGTCGATTCGTCGTTTAATTTCTGAAATCGTAGTTTCGAAGAGCCGAGGGAATTGTTTCGACCAAGAAAATTTGTCAACGACAAATTTTGTGCGCTATTTTTCTGTTTGCGTTACGCGAGAGAACGCAGAGTACACTGTAAAAAAATTTTGTAAAATTACAACTATAGTGGATAATTTTGAGACCCACTATAACAGTTGTAATTTTACAAAATTACAGTACGGAAGGAAAAAGTAATTTTGAATTACAATTACACAAATTAAGAATGTGTGGAAATTTACACCTATTATAGTGGGTCTCAAATTACCCACTATAATAGTTGTAAATTTTACAAAAAATTTTTACAGTGTATAACTACCGGACCTATATAACGCGTTCGCAGAATATGTTTGGTACGCACCGCGGACAGAAACGAGACGCGCGCACACTAGTTACAGATATCCATCAGGCGCAATTAGCGTATAATGATTCTTCCGGCAAATCCAGGCGCCACGCAAACAAGCGTAACAGAATAGATCCCGTCGTCGTGGACGTTTATTTGATCGATTCTGACCGCGTACACACAACACACACACACACACACACGTTCAAGTTGCTTCGAAATTTGCGTACGTCTCGATTTCCACCGGTCCATTAACATCGCCCGGTAATTTCACCGAGGAATTCATGAGGTAGCGCAGGTAGCGTAAAGCACACAGCGGAAAATAGCCGGCGCGCACGTTCCACGTGATAAATCCGTGTCGGCGATTCCCGTCGGGAGTTGTTAAGGTGTTTCGCGGATCGATGCGTGGACCGTACGTGAATTCGCAAAAAAAAAAAAAAGAAAAAAGGAAAAACTTCGATCTCAGGATCGTCTGTTATTTCGCTTGGATTGCCACCGTGTACCGTTCGCATTATTTCGGATCCGTTCGTCGGTAATCTTTATACTGATATACTGATGGAGTAACTGATATCTTTATAGGAAACTCTCTCCTGTCGTACGAATCGTTAAATAAATATTTCTCCACACGATGACTACCGCGCAAGGAGAAATTACATTACAGTAAGAATATTATGTCAGATAGTGTTAGAACGTCGGTTAATTGAAATGAAAATTGTAAAATTAGAAATAATAATCGTTTACACGGCCCACGGGTAATCGAATAGCGATACTGCATGTGGTAAAATGCAAAGGTAAAATTGCGTGGTGTCACTGGTGTTATTTGCTCAATGAGCGTAGTAGGCAGAGATAAGTATCTAACTCTATTGTCGTCAACGAGAATTGCAAAGTAACCTTGTCGACCAGTTGATACGCAAATGAGTTACGCGAGAGATTACGTTTGATTTTATTATTGCTGCGTTTATAGCATTGGAACGACGCACGTGTCGCGCGGGGTCGCATCCATAGTCTCGTCTTCTAACGGCGAGTCACTCTAATTATAACTCCGCTACAAATCTTGGCGTTATCTCAATTCGTTTATTTACGAGATCCGCGAAGGTTTCGCAAGCCGAAAGAATGTAAGCGCGACAAGCAATTTGAGCAGTGAGTGAATCGAGCGATCGAGGGTATTCTCTCGAAAATACAGGTTTAATTTTAAAAGCTGAAAAATTACGATTGATTGATCTCCAGTACGCTTAATTTCCGTTTCTTACATTTATTGTTATTTTTTCTTACGTGCTGCTTGTGTTAAGTTTGTTTTGACTACTTGTTGAGTTTTTTCTCAGTGCATTTTTTTCGTTGGTTCTCAGGTAAACTAGCTTGTCCTTTGCGGCAGTTCCGATGTGCCAATGGCAGATGCATACCGATCTCGTGGGTCTGCGACAAAGCGGACGATTGTACTGACAATTCCGACGAAAGCCCGGAGGAATGCAAAAGTAAGTCACGCGCAGAATTATGCGAAAAATACGTCAAATTATATATGCAATATAACGTAACAACGATGACGTCCGGCGCGGTCCGTACGATCGAGCGCAAATTTGCGCAACTCTTTGACGCGTCAAATTCGCATATGAACCGAAACGCAAACATCATTTTACATAACAAATATTAACGTCGCGCAAACGATCGAGCCATTAGTCGTTTCTGCATGGGGTTTCGTGAATTTCTCGTTTACACTTCTATCGCGTTGTATATTTTTCATAATTATACCCCTTTGATCGCGCGAACTTAAGTGAGCGTCACCGAAATCGGAATTTTAGCGAAGTATTTTGCAGAATTGTAGAGGGAATTTTTTAATAATTATTTCGAGACGTGGAGAAGTGGAGACGTGGAAAAGTGATAAATCGTTTGAAATTTTTTAACGACAAACCATAATCACCGACTTGCGCATCGAACGTTTCTTTGCTCCGCGAGTAATGAAATATTTATGAATCGGCGTTATTTGCGACTTCGTTTTACGGTGTCAATATATCGACGAGAGTAATGTTGCGCGCGCTCGCGACATGAAAAATGACGCAGGGAGAAATGATAAGTTGTTTCGGAAGTTTCGCGCTGTGCTACATGCGAAAGTGTGCGTACACGCAAGCGTGTGTACGACCCAGCGCGCGCGCGTGGGTTTGTTAATTAAATGACGATCCGTTGACAAATAAGCCGTCCGCGTGTTTGCCCGCGCGTTCTTCCGCCGTTTTATTGATCTCGAGTAGATGTCTCAGCAGTGGGCTGACCGAACTAATTTTCGCGGCTGCGATTTAAAGCTTTGGCGAACCTCGGCCCGTTCGATCGATCGCACTTGGAGATTTATTTACGAGGCGCCGCGTGTGCGCCAAACAAACCGCATCCCGATCGACGATGCATAATGACGTTTAATAATTATAATAATACGGCGTAACGTCTGCGCGAGTCCGGAGTGTAGCCTCGCGAAGCGCCTCGCGCGAATAATGTTGGTGAATTATAGAATTTTAATCAAAACTTGAATTATGGCTTTCAATTTGCATTTCCGCTTGATTTCGAAACGATTGTCTTCTCTCAGCGCTTATAATCGATTGTTTATGTGCCTCGAGGAGGAAGTTGCGCAAGCGACGCCGTCCGAGAGTCAAGATTCGTCCAAAATTATACGAGTAGATAATTTTATTAGCGCATTCGTTGCACCTGATTTATCTTATCGCCGACGCGTCGTAATGACCTACATATGATACTGCATTCTTACGCGACGGTGTTTTCCCGCAGATAATTACATGTTGCATTTTTTTTATTGTTTTACAATTTATTAGTATTTGAGAACAATATATACGTATATAAATTTACTCAATATTTTCTGAGAAAAAAGTAAGGAGAAACTAAAAAAAATATTAAAACGAAAGAATTACGTTAAAATTACTCTAACGTGAGCTTCATTTTTTTCGATACAGGGTGTAAAATTCATCCCAGACATCCGTTCTCGAGTTTCGTGAATAATCACGTGATTCGTGACTTTCCTGTAATTGCTTCTCTGTGAATCGCGATTAGAAAGTTACTTACTTGTATCTTCGTTGATCTATTATTCTTCGATTATGATCCAAACACCGATCGATTCATTGAGTGAAGTTTACTCGCTTTATGAATCCTGGCCTTATGAATTCTTAGAAATCGTTTGGCTAAATGTTTATTTCAATAATAAACATTTCAATAATAACATTGAATTTTGAGCTTTGGCGTTTTCCCAATTAATCTATGAGTTTGCAGTTTCACGAGGCATATATTAGAACGAGCAGTATCGCTATGCGCAATATGTAATTATTTTCGAGCATTCTATACATAGTATGTCTCTGTATTCTATAGTAGGAGTGATTGGGGAGTGCGTTTCATCGCGATATGATTACAAGTCGATGATAATCAACGAGTTTGCATCGCGAATGTTTGCAACACATTGCATACGGTTGCATAGACATACATACATACCTATAACGGAACAAGAAAATCTGAAGCTTGCAAGGCAGTAATCTCTTGCCTTTCCTCGTACTTCAAGTCCGGCGCCTCGTGACGAAAAGAAAAACAGACGGGAAACAATAATCGCCATAATTTTATAAATATGTGATTATAGACCAGCGAGATGTGCAATTCCGCGAAAATATTACCGTAACATAAAAACTCGCCGTCCTTGCCAGTGCCTTATGCTATGGTTTCTCCAATTAATTACGCGAGAATCGGGCAAGACGCAGCCTCCTGTTAATCTTGCATCAGACAGAATGATCTAATCTGCTCTCCCGTATTAAAGAATAAAGCTATACGACATGTACTTATGTGTGCTAGTCTCATTTGTCCATTAAATCGTTGAGCTATTCGCTCGGAGCTTAGTCCGACAAATCTTGAATGATGAACGAGAAATATCGAAAATATATCTGGCAATGTGTGAAAGACATGACTTTTTTAAAAATATAATTATATATTATACATTATTTTTTTTATAAATAATCTCTATATATCTTTTTTACACTGATAAAGTATATCTAGTAATGCTTGCAAAAGACACGTTTTTTTTCTAAAAAATTATCATATATTGTTATATATTATATAAATTTTTTTAAAAATGATTATTATATATATATATATACCTCGATATAACAAAAAAAATTACATAAATTCTTTTATTCGTTATTTTCAAGAAATATGTTCAAGCAACCTGTATTTAACGCATAAATATTGCGTATACATCATGTCGCGGCATTTTCTCTCCTTTGACTACATTTCTCAAATTAGTTCCATTATACAGTTTTGCACTATACTCTCCTTAACGTAACGTAATTGTACTTTTGTAGAGCATTTAATTTTCCGTGGAAGATTCCCTCGCATTCGTGTAAATTGGTTCCACAGGCTGCGGGAACGCAAATAAACAAGCGGCTAAATAAGTAACTAAATAGACAAACTGCGGCACGATAGCGCAGCGACGTGAAATAATAAGATAGAAAAGGCAAAGGGGAAAAGGAAGACCGCGAGGGAAAAGGAGTGCTATCTAACGAGCGAAAAGGGGCAATAAAAACGAACGAGACCTGCCAAACGAACCAAACCGACATTGTCCTTTGTCGTTTCCCAGAACGTTTCGCAGGGCTTGCACTTTTGCACGCAGATTTCACCGCCTCGCGACTCCACAGTTTCTTCCATTTCTTTTTCTTTTCTTTTTCCCTGGTCCCTCGGCTCCTCGCATGCCGACTGTCATTTCGACCCTGGGATCTCGAATCCCATCCAGTTTTCGTCGATTTTCTCTCGCCTGTCCGAACGTTTCAACCGCGCGCGGCCGATTTCAACAGCTGGTAATCAGCTTCGATTCTCGAGTGCGCCATTTCCTCGAACGATCAAATTTCATCTTTAATTAGGATCGCGAACGAGATTCTTGATTCGAAATTATGAATCTCGATTGCGAGAAACGTATAAGCTGTACTAATGGAGCTGTAGATTTTCATGCGGTATATCAATGTCTTACACACTGGTAGAAGGTTCAAATTGTTCGAGAAATGCTACCGTCGCGTTTCTCATTCGAGGTTTTTTCTAATTCTAGATCGACGAAGGATAATCCTGTAAATGTACGGATGCAGTTAAGCGCGAGATACTTAGATCGTCGATTCATCAATACCATTAATCAGTCTTGACCACCGTGACCTAAGGCACGGTGCAATGCCATCGCTTCGGCGCGGCCGCAAGGTCCAGGCAATGTTGCATCAGCCCCCCCCGAGTCCATTCCTTTTTTCCTGTTTCGTCCTGTGGCTTCTTTTACACTGAACTCTTTCGCCGCCGCCGCCGCCGCCGGATACGCCGTCGTTCTTCCTCCATCAGCCGGCCTCCGTTTATTTAGGGTCGATGCATTTTATTGTAACGCAAGGTCCGCGCCAGTTGCATCAGTCGACGAGACGACGAGGAGAACCGATTCGGCTGGCGACTGCCAACGCACCATATAATTATGGTGAAAGCCAGTCGCGGCATGGTGTGTATAGGCTCTCGCATGATTTGCTCGAGCGTCGACTCGCGCATTGGCGGCCGCATCGATCGCTTCCTTGAGATTTTTCAACGTGAGGATTGGCGAAATTTTATTTGAATAACGGATGAATTACTTGAGCTGGAATTTGTTCGACCGAAACCGTTTTTTCATTGAGACATTCATAAAAACGTAACGCTGATGCGTTTATGTAAGTAACTTGAGAAGATCTGTAAAAATTATAAAAAAGAAAAATACGTTCGCGACTTGCAGACTCCGCCGTGGGAGTCTCCGAACTTCGTGCTATGCTTTCGCATTTAGACATCAATTGGTGCTTAACGATTTCTAACTCAATTGAAATCAATCGGTTGGTCTGCGTCACTGAAAGCAACGCCAACGAAATCTCGCGGACAATCATCGTGGTCATCGTTCAGTGTTGTCCCAAGTGAATCCATTTTTATTGCGTTAACAAATACATTCTGCAAACTTGCAATTGCAAAATAAATCGAAATCGGAAGCTGGTATTAACTGCTTAACGCGCGTTTTTGCTCTTTCGAAATTACCAACAATCGAAATGCCAAAATGCAACGCTCAAATTAATTATTCCTGTGTACAAATTAACATAACGTATAACCGATCGCGGAATTGTAATAAGAGAAGTTTTAGTTTTGAATTTCCAATTTGAACCGAACGTATACATTAAACGACTATGCGATATTCATAGTTATTTCACGAGAAATAAAACATGCAGTGCCATCAATTTCGGAACACATCGCATCTGATTGTCCTCTGTTTTCTGAATGGTATTTTTGTTATTAATTTCGGATTGGTGTTTTTAACGGATAATTCAAGATTAATTAATCTCAATTTAAATGGCCCGTGGGGTGGGGGGAGACTAAGCGAAGAACAGATATATAAAATATGAACTCGAACGATGTAATCGTGATAACGTCCCGGGGTAGTAAATATTGATCGTGACGACGCGTGAAA